TTAGTTTAATATATTGACATTGCGAAAGTGTAGAGCGCCGACGTTGAGGCAACACTGATTAATTTGATATTATTAAAGAAATATTTTGTCATAATTGCTTCATAATTACTCAATAAAAACCTTCTGCTTGCTTATAAATTGTTTATAAATACATAAACTAAAGAACTGAATACAACAATACCGTTTACAAATTACGTGACCAGTTCGGTATATCGAAATTTTTTTATTATGATTTATAATAAACGGTACATTAATAAAAGTTCGATATATATTATAAGCCGTGAAAGACGAATAAAGTTATCAACCCCAGGCATGCGTTTCGATCATATTCTAATAATTCGTGTGAAACTTTGACGTATAAGTTCTCGTAATTCCGTATCCGTTACTGTAACGCTTTTGGACTGAGTCTCATTGGCTGATGCAGAGGTTGCTGATAAAGTAGGTTGCGATTGTCTTTTATTCTTCTTACGAACCATAGTATCTTAAATATATCTAGCGGAAAATTCAAAATTTTTCAAAGATCGTTAATATTGTTAACAGTTTTTTTGCCAAGAAAAAAGATCTCCCACCTGTTGTAACGATACCACAGACATATTCATACTCGGACTTGAATGCTTATCTGACTTTCGTTTTTTCTTGAACATGTCTGGGAACAAACATCGGGAATACCAGTTAATAATTCGACTAGTTTAGTATAAGTAATTTTTTAGTATACTCAATACCTTTTTTGCAAAAATTCGATCAGTTTAACTTTCTTGATAAATGGAGTGACGAACCTCTTCTGGAATGGAAGTATTTTGCTCTGCTTAGGTGAATAAAAATAGCGCTATAGATCGGATAATAGAGAAAAAATTTTTGCGGAAGAAAGAGTTAGGAAAGAGCTTAGTGATATTGCGTGATGTCAAGACTTAAAAATTATTAAAAATAGGGAACTACACATGATTTTGATATCGACTACTTGAAAAAAATACTTATCTAAATATTTTGCCAGTAATGAATTCAAGAGAGCGACGAGTCCGGTGAAGACCACAAGATACCGGGAGACCTAATAGCCTCCTACGAACAAACCCCAACTCTTTGACTGTTATAAGGAAGGTACATGACCGATTCCTTCTCCAGAATCAGTAGACCTTATTAAACAGTTGTAATTCAAAGAGTTTGAAAAAGGAGTGTCTTTCGGAAAAATTGGGAATCACAGCACTCATGCTCCACCGGTGTAGGCTCTTACGGTTACGCATCGGCAAATGTGCAACTTTCAGATACCTGCGCGTAAGAACTTACAAAATAACGGATAAATGTATCCTTTTATATCTTTATATCACATGATTACAAATTTATATATCGCGTTAACTCACGTTACGAATAAGTGTGTGACAAATAGAGAATTCATCATTGAAAAATTTCTAAGTTCCCAGAATACTTAGTAAAAAATGAAAGATGGTGGGGTGTGACACTAGAGACAAATATTTTACTAATATCACGTGCCCGAGCTTTTTTGTCGGTGTTACTGGGGAAGATTATGTGATGGTTAACTGTCACATGATCACTTTTATATTTATCTCAGCAACTTAGTTTTTTTAAAGTACTCCAAATCTTATTTGTCATTCCTTATTGTCACCCACGCGCCACCAAATTTGGACGTCATAACTCGTAATGGCAAATGTATATAATCCTGCATCAGGAGCAGGGACGATGATTTTTTGTGGTGATATAAAGTAAATTTTGTATGTGATAAAAATAAATTCTGTGAAATTTTGTGATTTGGCCGGATTTAAGCAAGGTTGGCCAACATTACGACTCGTAAATTCTGCCCAAATTTAGTGTTTACCGGAATTACAATGATTGCAAATCCTAAATTAGGCCAAAAACTTGAACCAAATTTTGTGATTTTCTGTGAAATTCTGTGATCACAATAAATCATTGTCCCTGATCAGGAGGGTCAAGGAGGTAACTTTTGCATCGTAATCTCGCGTATGACGTAATTGTATTTATTTTTTAATAAACAATTGTGATAAATAGACTTAAACTTTTACCTAACCCTTCGTTATTGGTTTTTTCCTTTCTCTAAATAACTTTAAACTATTAATATCCGCAAGCAAACCACAAATTCATCAACTAATTTTTTTTATCTTCGCTCTGCCTTAAAATCAAGTTTATAACAAAAGCTTTTTTTCGCTTTTTTTTTAATCCGTTATTATTAAACGATTACTTCTTCGTAAGAGGGAGAGAACTTTCACGCTTACACCCATAAATAAAATTAATTCTTCATCACTATGAAAATTTCTTCTTGGTTACAAAAATCTGGTTTGATCGAGGGAAATCTTAAGGATACTCTCGATTCAACCATAAATGAATTGCACGTCAATTGTCCGCTGAAGGCCACCAAAGAGTCGATACGTGCATCACTAATTGACATTATAAAAAGGGATAAAGCGTTCTCTAAAAAGTCACCAGCCCACACAAAAATATTCAACTGGTTCGAAAAAAATGTGGCATCGTCATCTAAACAATCTAAACAGTCCAAACAGTCCAAATCAACTGCAATATTCGAAAAATCACAGATACTTACACCTTCTATCGCTAATAATAAGCACAACAAAAGCACCTCGCCTCCACCGGTAAAACAAGAGTTTTCACTCTCAAGCGACTGCCAGGCTGCAATTGTTGAACATTTTTACACATTCGTGAAAAACGAACTGTATAAATTCCTCGCTGAGAATGAAAATATCATCCCCGTAAAGGTTATAGAAAATTTTACCAAGAGAAAAAATCCCCTGATTAGCTCTGATTTCAGAGACACCGATCTTTTAAATTTGCTCAATTTTATTGTTGAATATATCAATATTTTTTTAAACAAATCGGTCTTCCATGGTCTATACAAGGCCAATCCTATACGGATCTTAAAGGAATTCAAAGAGAACGTGCGCCATAAAATGGCACATGGAATTTCTATGAATGGAGATGGTCGCTAGAGCGATCTTGTGCTCCAAAATGTCACTTATTTGTCATGTTATATAGTTGCCTGTCTTGGTAAATAATTTATTCTAACTTCACATTAGAGCATTATATATACTGTATATTGACTTTTTTTTCATCTAACATCAGGGGTAATTATGAAGATATATATGCTGCCAGAGAAAAGATAGATAAAGAAATAGCTCAGAAATTAATGGAAAGGGTGGTTACGAAAGAGTCAAGACCACCAAAAAGAAAGGTCAACGATAATTTTTGCAAAATGACAGAATTCGTTCTGGACGTTCTTGAAGAGGTCGAGGAGACAAAGGAGAGACAGAAGCAGAAGATTATGAAGATGGTGTTAAATGAGGACGAGCATTTGGTGCAGATTTGGGAAATAGTCATTACGCAGAAAAGCAAGAAAGAGCAAGTTCGCAAATTAATTAAGTTTGTGAACATAAGGTTCGGTATTGTGAGTATATGAGTATTCGATGACTTATGATAAATTTGTATGGTGATTTAACCGATTGTTCTGTTTTATCCACAGAATTTAAAGGAAATTTTAAATGACAATATGGCAGACTCGATTCTCAACGGCAATGGAGAGAGTAGTACGAGAGAGGGTAAAAAAAGGCGGCAAGAGTAGGGTGTCCAGAATGTCATAGTCACAATTTTTTCTACACTTTTTCACACTTTTTGGTGTGATCGCAAAATTTCACTTTTTTTACACCATCTGCAGGAAATGTTTTGATTGGCTGATCTATCAAATTACTTTTTTTTTCAAATGATTAATCGATCTTATGAAAGATTATTTCTTTGTTCCTTTTTTAAAAAATAACTAATAATTAATATTCACTTTATATAATTAATTTTAAAATTAAATTGAAATTATATATTTTTAGAATTCTTGCTTGTAATTTACTTTAAATTATGAATTATTTTTGTAACTATATCAAGAAATTTTTAGGTAGATCAGTTTACGTAATTCCACGGAAACTTGTGGAAATTTGAGAATTGTGATTTCCGTTTGGTGTAAAATCTTATTGGAAATTTGTGGAATTCTTTAGCAGAATATGTGGATTTCATTTACGAAATATGCAGAATTTATCTGTAGAATTTCGAATTTTAAAGAGAATATTATGTCATTACTGAAGTTAGAAGCAAATGTTTATTTATTCTTGATTTTTTTAATAAAGCTTTTACTATCGACTAATTTTATCGCTTCTTAAAAAAGGAACGAATTACAAAAAATAAATTATCATGTCCAAAATAAGGTGCAACATGAACTCATCTACCATTTCGTATATATTTAATTCATCTATATTTATTCTTATTACAATATCAGAAAAACAAGAATGATTATAATGATTATTTTAGCATATATCTTGACACCGATGGATCAGGTTGCAGAATGAAAAAGTTATATTTGTATACTTTCAAAATTACCCGTAAACTATGACTTTCTTAATAATCGATTTATTCTATGTAATGTTAATTTGTCTTCTTTATCTGAAAGATTTATAAAAGCATTATTAAAATCTGATAATAAAAATTTAATTTCAGGTAAAGTCAACTTAATATTCTTTGTAAATGTTGGTTTTTTTAGGTTGTATTATTAATTGGATTTAATAAGTCAAATATTAATTTTCTTTAAATCTTAAAATTTTAAAAAGAAAATAAAAAATTGGTTATTAAAAATTAAATATTTTCTTACTGATCCAATAATCTGAGTATTAATATATCATGTTTATTATTTATTCTATATGGTATTTTAAAATAATTTTATGAAGACTTTCACAAGTTTCTGTATTCTAATCATTTATTGATCTATATTTACAAATTAATTTATCAATATGATAAAGCTAAAAATGGAGTTTTACTAAATTAAATTTAGATAATAAAATAATTTTATAATAAAAAATAAATGTTTGATCAAATAAATATAATACTCTAAATTTAAAAAAAATCTTAAATATTTTTTTTTAAAAATAAAAGAAAAAAACTATAATATATTTCTAAAATTTGATTACCTTAAATTTTTATAAAAACTTTTTAGTATGATTATCATTTTTGCTTATTATATACATAACTATTTATTAATAAAAAGTCAAGTAATTATAATATTTATTTTCTTATTAATAGAATTTATAATTTCATTAATAGTAAATATAGCAACTTTTATAATATCTCAATATTTAGAAACAGTAAATTTTTTAATATTTTGTAAATTATTTTTGAAATTTTTAAATTGAAAAAAGGTGGTATTAAGTTTAATTATCTATTTATTTCATCTATAGCTTTTTGTTTACATAATATTTAAGAAAATTACTAGCTATATTTAAGTTGATAATTAAGTAGACCAATATTCAAATGATGTAACTGATCCAGAATAGTTATAATACTAATATGTCTAATATATCAGTTATGTTAGATATATCAAATATATTCTATATGTCAAATATATCTAATATGTTTGACATTTAGATCTGTAACATATTGCGTCACATTTATTAATTCAATC